CTAGGAGCCAGGGGGATTATTTTCAAAAAAGAAAGACATGTTACTTGCTGGCTCAAATCTCTCCATGCACACTTACATAACACCCGGATGGATGTCTTCCCACAGCCTAGCAGGCTTTGCTTGGTCTCACTCCTGCGCGTGCCTTTGATGAGTCTCACACCCTCCCCTCCACTCAGGGCTCCAGTCATTTCTGCCCTGTTTCTGTCCTGGAGAAGCCATTCCTTTCCCAACTCAGGCCTTTGCACTCCTTGTTGCCTCTGCCTGGATGATACATGCTTGTCCTCCAGGGTCCTCCAGTCTCCGTGAAAGCCTCCTCCACAAAGGGCCTGTGCTGACCACCCCTTTCTAAGTGGCCTCCTCTGGTGGTTTTCTTTCTTGTCTCTCTCCTTACTTCCTGCAGCACTCTTATCAAAGCCTGGAATTTTTGTTTATATTTCAATTACCAATGCACCTGACCAGAACAGAAGGTCTGTGAGAGTGGGGACCTGTCTAGCTCAATCTCAGCTACACTACCTGGTGGTCCTAACTAATATAGTGCCTGGCACCCAGTAGAGATTTAATACCAAAGTTTTGAATGGATAAAAAGGAAATAAGGAGAAAGGATGAAAGAAATTCTGGAGTTGAGAAACATACAGGAATGAAATCAAATGTATTCCTCCAGGCCCTTCTGTAGGTTCAGCACAGATGACAAAGTCTCAAGTCATCTAGTCAAAATACATAGTATCTCACCACCACACGATCACCAAACATATCAAAGTAGAAAGACCAAAGAACTGGTGATTCTGGTTCTGGATCTGATACCAACTACAACTTTTAGCAAAGTGTAGCAATGTCACTCCCTCCCCAAACACCCCACCCCCGAAAACTTAATTTACAGAATGAAAGGGCTGCATGTTTAGCTCTATATTAGTTCTAATATTCTAGGCCAGGCAGGGTGACTCATACCTGTAATCCCACCATTCTGGGAGGCCGAGTCGGGCGGATGGCTTGAGGTCAGGCGTTTGAGACCAGCTTGAGCAAAAGCAAGACCCTATCTCAAAAAATAGCCAGGCATTGTGGCGGGCACCTGTAGTCCCAGCCACTCAGGAGGCCAAGGCAAGAAAATCACTTGAGCCCAAGAATTTGAGGTTGCTGTGAGCAGTGACACTGTGGCACTCTACCAAGGGTGACACGAAACTCTGTCTCCATAAATAAATTCCTGATATTCTAAATTCAGTATACAATTTGGTATACATATCTCTGCTTATTCCATTTCTCCCTTTCAATAAAAGGCCTATCTATAAAATAAATCCTGTATCTAAAACCTGTATCCAGGCACACTTCCCCTCATGTCCAGCCCACACGCCGGCCTCAGGGTCGTGTGTCATGAACTCTCGCATAGAAATGCCATGGCTCATGGCTCATTTGTTACCTCTAGACAAAAGAGAGGGATATAAAGCAGTCTCAGCCTTCCAACTGGACAGGGCCATCTCTGATGTGACAGCTCTACAGCTGGAAGGTGTCCATGTGCACCCTGGAGCTCTGGCCCTGCCCTCAGTGGTTACTTCACATGGCTAGACATCCCCCACATGACACACAACTAAGGCTGACATTCCCAGAGGAAACCCAGTGCATATTTTGTGGTCCAGGCCCCGATTTAGTCAGAATATTGACCTTTTAGTAATTTTTCCCTTTAGGATCTTAGGGGAAAAATAAGTTTTAACTGTGAGAATGACTTATCCCAAAAAAGACGTATCATTCTTTAGGGCACCAACTAAAATATACAACCAAGTATTTCCCATGAGAGTAGCATAAGGACCCCAGATTAGAAGGACCTCTTCCCCACCAAAAAAGAAAAGATGACTTTCCTATTTGGGGTCATTTTTAAAAATACTCTTTTTATAGAACTGGAGGAGGATGGTGGTACAAAACTCAACCATCCTTACACTAAAAGTGCCAGGAAGAGACTTGCCTTAAGGCTCAGTGCCTGTGGCTCAGGTGGCTGGGGCGCCAGCCACATACACCTAGGGTGGCAGGTTCGAATCCAGCCCGGGCCCACCAAATAACAATGACGGCTGCAACCAAAAAATAGCCAGGCGCTGTGGCGGGCGCCTGTGGTCCCAGCTACTTGGGAGGCTGAGGCAGGAGACTCGCTTGAGCCCAGGAGTTGGAGCTTGCTGTGAGCTGTGATGCCATAGCACTCTACCCTGGTGGATAGCTTGAGGCTGTCTCAAAAAAAAAAAAGAGACTTGCCTTAAGACCAATTAAGCAAATAACGGCAAACCACTCGGCTACCTGTACTCCTCCTTCGCTCAGCTCTGCCAAAAGCCAGTTTCCTCTTTGCCCCTCATTCCCTACCAACTCCACAGAGAACCCCAAGTATTGTAACATTTTGGTCTCCATAATTTACCCGCTCTGGGTGAATTCCCTGTTTTTTGTGTCCCCCATCTCCATACTTTTCTTGGCTCATCAGAATAGTAACAGTTGGGATTTTAGTTAACAACCTTTAAAAAAAAATACCCATTTTGTCAGGTGTATGAACAGAAAATTAATGCTGAATATGTGAAATGTGAGCAATTCATTAAAAGAGCTAAATCAAATCCAAAACCTAGCCAGAGAGCACCAATATTCCTGCTTCCCAGATGGACGCCCCCTCCGTTCCAGACTCCTAGCTCCTAATTCCCCTCACATGGGCCCCCCAGGGCCCCCCAGGGCCCCCCATCTGCCTGACACCCCCCCCAAGCCATCCTCCCACTCACCAACAGTGCCACGGGGCACCCCGGGAGAGTTGGCACTGCCACTGCCACTGACACGGGAACTCTGGCTGAGACCAGAGGAAACCCTCATATTAAAAGGAAAGCTGACTGCAAACAGGATGAAGATGAAAGGTTAACATCCACTCAGTTGTTGAAGAAGACGCACTGGTGCCAAGAAAACTCCATTCTCTAAACACGAAATTTGTGCAAAGGCCATCTCGCATAGTCCTATATATGAAATACATAATAAACTACAAGGGACTTTAAGTCCCTGGAAAAATCTTAACTCAGCTTATTCTTCCCCCTCCCCATCTACTCTCAGCGGTAAGTTTACCAGGATCCTCTCCCTGGACCGTGTACTGGGAAACCACGCGGTCTGGTTTTCTTAGTGTATGTGCTGTGGAAATGAGCACAGGTTCACTGTCTGGTGGCTACCATTTGAAACTTTCTCCAGGCACCCAGTACTACATAGTTTGTATTCAATTGTTTTCTAATTGTTTCATAAGCACAGACTGATCTATACTAGACTGCAATCTCTCTTGGGGCAGGAACCAACATTTCCTTGGCATCTAGCTCTATACTTAGGCACATGGTTGGGTGTTTGCTAATTTCTCCTAAAACTGTTTTAATGCAATCTTTTTTCAGTTGTTTTTAGAAAGGATATTAAATTATTCTTTCTCTGTAAACTAGGAACATACACCTAACCCCATTTGATAAATGAAGTTCTTTGTCTGAATTAGAAGACAGGCTAGTTGACCATTTTGAGAAGGGAGGGACTCACTTTATTCTGCCATCACTCAGCCCCATCCTTCCCTCCACCGCAGCACACAATGTTCAGTAAATGTCACGCTGCACTGAATCTTCACAGTTAGGACCAGAGGTGCAGGTCTGCTTTACTCCCTTCTCTCATTTATCCTCAGCAACTAAACAAGTTCCATTCTGGAGACATCTGGAGGGACTCCCAGCTCAGCAGCTAACAGAGGACAGAACCCTAGCCTCCCTCTTCTAAACCAAAAGCTCACATCAGAAAAGAGCGGATTTTCTCTAGGAAGACAAAGGATAGCTTTCCAGGTAAGGAAAGTGGAAATCTTTTTTTTTTAACCCTAAAGAATTTTACCCTCTGGCACTACGTAGTAAGACTGGTATCTGAAGGGCACAAATATCTGTGAGCAAAGGATGTACAAATCAGAATGTTTATACAACAGATGTAATAAGCCACCAAACTTCCATCAACAGGAAAGTTTTAAAATTCACATGAAGCATTTCACTTTGTACTACACTAAGCTTAGTTTTGGAGAAACTGGTATGACTTGTAAGTTTTCAGTGGTAAGATATATGGTTTGATTCTCCCCGTTCAAACATAATATTGCCATTTACCAAAGGAACAGAAAAAGAAATATTTTTCATGGTTTTAAAAATATAGTATTGGGGTTACTTTTAAAACCCAAAGTTGAATAACATTCTGTGTAATGTTTGTGGCTCACTCTCAAATGAGATATCACTACACACCCACTCTTCTGTTTTAGGTGGTAAACAAAAAATGAGAACTTTAGTTTCAATGTTCTTACAATTTGGAGGGAACAAACCTTAAAAATAATAAAAATAAAATGCTCTGGGCCTTCAACAGTTTATCGGCTTGGTGCCTGTGGCTCAAGTGGCTAAGGCTCCAGCCACATAGACCTAAGGTGGTGGGTTCGAATCCAGCCCCGCCCGCCAAACAACAATGATGGCTGCAACCAAAAAAAATAGCTGGGCGTTGTGGCAGGCGCCTGTGGTCCCAGCTACTTGGGAGGCTGAGGCAGGAGACTCGCTTGAGCCCAGGAGTTGGAGGT